TTTCTCAAGATATATTTTTCAAGTGGACAACTGACAATAAGTATAAATATTAGAATTACGGTAGAAGTTGAGAGGTATGTGTGGCTTTTGACACCTTCTTGTCTTCTGTGTGTGTTTCTGAAGAGAAATAGGGGCATTTGGAGAACAACTGAATGAAGTATTAGAATCACCTTGTTTTTGGATTTTTCTTGAAAGTGATTATTTTTATTGAAAATTTAAAATTCTTCTCTCCAAATATTCCATAGTTTTTGTAGTTTTTGTATTCACAAACGCATTAGAAGTAAATCTTTTTTCTCATCCCCCAATTTGTTAGATATCATGGATTCGGAACAGAATTCGGTATTCCGAAAATCGAGCGTTTTCGGAATTAGAGTTCTTTGTGGGGTTCCGAAGCTCTGAAATTCTGAAATTACACACTTTTTTTAATCGGAATACTCCAAACTGCCGAAATTGCGGAATTTTCAAAATCGGAATATTCCAAGACTTCGAAAGTTCGAAATTTTGAAAGTCGGAAATTTCGACATTCCGAAAAATTCCGAGAAGACTATTCTGAATACCCCTGGTTGGATTCAAACACTTCTAATGCAATCCAATCATTCAAGTTCCCACCTTTGTCAAGTTTACCCAAACAATCCCAACCTAGAATAAATCTTATTAAACTAGTCACATAATGTCCTCCTCCTCTCCTTGTTGTTTCCCATTCCAATATTTCATTCTCACCTGGTCCTCTTCCTTTTCGTTATTCCCAATATATTTCTTCCTCCATCATCAGTCCATCAATCGGAGCGAAGCTCATTACGCTTACACTCTTTTCCTAACAATTTCCATTTTCCGGTGACAGACGTTTGTCTCTATTCTCCAGCTTTCTTCCTTTTTCTAAGTGCTCCTCTCATTTTCCGGTCATCCCCCCGCTCTTCGAATTACCGTCTCTTTCATTTTCTCTTCCCATTTTTGACACCGTCCCGCCCCAGAAGCCAGATGGCAGGAAGGATGGGCGTCACAATGGCGCCAAGAAAAAGAGAGATATCTGTCTGCCTCTGTCTAGAATATGTAGATGAATCTGAGTCTTGTTGGGAGGATCTGTAGGTGTCAGAAGAAAGATAGACGACCAACCAGCTGCCACGTGTCAGAAGCAGTTATCATTTGTTGCCTGTCAACTTATTAATCAGAAATGGTTCCCATAGTTTTCATATGGATCTCTTTAAAACTTTTTATTGCAACGTTTTAAAGCCCATTTCAAAAAGTCGTCCATCAATCAAAACTTGGCGAGCAGCAAATGCGGCATGTAATGTGGTGTTGAAAGAGATATGATTGGTGAGAGTAATGTGCTCCCAAAGGATTTTCCATGTTTTTGGAAATCTTTTCCTTCTTCATCTCAGAAAAGTCTCTTCTTTTTCCATCCATTCCAAATCTCGGGTCAAGAAACCTAGGATTCCATTGAGGAATGTTCCCCAAACGAATTGGGAATGTAAGATAAGTAACAAAAATTTGCATAAATCCTTGCAACTTCGTTCATTTTCCCTTTTTGCGAACTGTTTGTTCTTCTCGACCTCACGGCAGGGTATCCGAAATCGAAAAAGGAGACATTGAGATGGGCAGTAGGGAGACTGACCACATGAGACACCGCTAAATCATTTGCAAACATAACAACAAGAGAGAGAGAGAGAGGGCAAAGGTATCACTTCGTGATTATCATATTAGTAGTTTGTCTTTCTTCTTTTGCCCTGCTTGTGTCTTTTTTGCGCTGGCTCTTCTTTTTTTGTGTTCCAGATTAGAGAATGAGTAACTTTTGATGCGAAGAATGGGTACAGTAACGAACAGTTGGGATTTCGCAGATTAAAAAAATTGCATTCCAAATTCTATTTTTCATGTGGATATCTAGAAATTTGTCAAACATGCTCCATCACCTGATATCGCTTCTTACAATTACCCAAGAACCTGTAATAGAAGGCCCCATTCTTTTAACTTTGACCTAATTTATCTGGGTTCATGTTAGAAAAACAAAAAAAATTGCCAACTGATAAAATGTTTATCATAATTTCAGCAACATCCCATCAGTTGACAGATTTTTGAAATCTTGCATAAGAATTGAGATAATTGAGCTCAAACACAACAGTGTGGGGGCCCTTCTATTACTGGTTTTTAAATAGTTGTTTTTTCCCGAAGCTGATCTGTAGACCGTCTATTAAATTTTGAAATATGCGTTGCTTAGTTGTTCCTCATTTTTAACCTCACTATCAGATTTAAAAAATTGAAAATCAATTATTCTAGAATCAGAATTTTACTGGCGCATTTTCGCAAAACCATTCTCGCCTTCTCACTATATTAGTCCCATCAATCTTCGAAAATCCTAAAACCCATCTATCTTATATTAGTACATGTATGTAGTACACATCCTCGGGAAATCTTCTAACTTGTTACAAAAAGTTCAAACTTTGCTCCTCTCTTCCCATGCCTCATCTCTTCTTCTTCTTGCACTATACTATGTTGCTCCAAAATGTCTCCCAAATTGACACGATATTAGCATAGTTTCCTTCTTTTCCTTCTCGTCTCATATCCCCCGTTCCTTTTTATCCTTTTTCTTCTTTTTTCTGCCCTTTTTCACCCGAATTTGTTCTCCTGCCATTTTTGATGAATGTGTTGTATGGACACGTGTTGCGTAACACCTCGGTCCCCTCTTATCAATCCCGATTCAGTCGGCATCTTTCTTTTAGACCCCCATCCTTGTACTCATTAGTCGGTTTTCTTCTAGTTCCCTCAAGGGAGAATAAACGGGTCATCATTGAGTGTCAAGATACGAATCTGTGATTATTAATCGCATGTACTTACACTTGTTCTTTTTTGATATTTTTACGATGGTCCGTTTTTGCGCGAAAGACACTTTTACAGTACGATCGGTACTACCGAAAGGGAAGGTGTGGTAAATCAACTACACACAGAGGCCAACTGTTTTCAATTTGCCTTTCTACTAACCCAAAAAAATTAACTGTCCGAGCACATGTTCGTCGGCACAAATCTTTTGAAGTGTTGCCACGTCACACTGCTCCCCCAGATGTGTTTCTGAAGCAGTTTTTTAGGAAGGTGCGCGACTTTTTTCCTTATGTTTGATCATCTGCCGACGAAGCATTAGGAGAGATGAAACATTGTGTGAAGCCTCCGATAGTTTTGTTATGGCTAATCGGAAGTTTCAAAGTTCTGGTCCTTAAAAAGTGTCCTAATGTTTTTATTTGCATTCTGTGTATACAGAGCATCTCGATTGTGCCCCTCGTGTCTTCTTCCATCTGGATCTTATCTCAAACCTTGCTCAATTCTTCCCACCCATCCATCACACTTTTTTGATGCATTACCATTTTTGTATGTCACTGTATGTCTTTTAAATCGTTCCTTTTCACTGTTGAACTTCTTCAATTCCTGCAAACCCCCAGATTTTCATGTCAAACAATAAATTGAGCCAATTCGGAACTGTGAACAATATATACTAGGTCAGTTTGAATTTCTAACTTGAATTGCCTGCAATCTTCTTTTCCCGTCCCTTCTCTAGTTCTCTTCTTCTTCGCCGTCTGGCCCCGCCCCTTTCTTTCCTGACTCCTCCTCCTATTAGTAGTTTTTCTTTCGTTTACCAGTATCGCCTCTTTGTTTTTCGATTTTCCAAAAGTTTTTTTTTTACCTAAAAAATCGGTGGAATCTCGAAACATCAATAAACAAAGAAAGCGAGCAGCACAAAGTTGGCACTTGCTCTCGAAAACTCTCTCTTTTTTCCGCGCACGGCTTATCATTCTCATCAACTCATCAACTCTCTGCTAATCATTTGCCCTCTTTTCCCTCATTTTTTCCGCTTACTGACCGGTCTTTCCGCTTCATATCTAGGTACTTGTCTTCATTAGAGTTTTCAATGAGCTCTTGCTCTTTTTTTTGCTCTTTTTCGCGCCTAGATACATTTTCTGATGATTTGATTTCTTACTTCTTATTGGTTCTTATGATTATACTTTTGTTGAGGGCTCTTTCGGGTGCCGATAAACATCTTTTTGTGTTTTATTGATTTGTTCCTTTCTCTTTTTTTTTTTGAGATTACCTAAAATATCAAATGGAAGTTTGAAACTCTGAAGTGTTCAAAATGATCTTTCCGGAATTTGGAAACTTTGGAATATTCTGATTTCACAGTTTTCAGAATTTTGAAACGTCGGAATAATCCTATTTTAACAAATTTCAAAATTTTAAAACTTCGGAATATTCCGATTTGAAAATTTTAACAATTTTTGAAATCTCACTTTCCTACCACAAAAGTAATTTTTTCAATCCCTTCATCACTGTCAGCAGCTTCGAATTTGGTTTTTTTTTTAAACTACCATATCCCAAAAACAAAAAAATCCCATAAAACTAATAAAATCATATGAAGCTCTTTCCTATGTTATTTCAACTTAAAACCACATTGCTTCTCATCCATCAATCTCTTTAAATTATCTCTGTTGTCTCCTAACTTTTCGCAATCTTCCAACAATTTTAGTTTCCGTTAAAATTCCCTTTGTTCTTCTTCTTTTTGCTCTTCTGCTTCCCTTGAAATCATCCCGAGAAACCAGAACCAGATGTCCTTATGTTTGTTTCCGTGTGATGTTAGTTTAGGTTTTTCTTTCTTAATTTCCCCCACTAACATTTCATTTTCTAGTGGGTGATGTACAATCCGAAGAAGAAGACAATTTTCAGGAAATTCAATATAGAAGAAGTCAAAAGAAGCAGCACATTCTATTGACGATGATTTCAATGTGACACAGATTCAATTCTAGATAATAAAAGTGATGGGCAAAGAGGCATCAAATAAAAAACACTAGGGACAAGAATCCATTTGAAAAAAATCTAGAATTTCTATGGAGATAGGGATCTTGAAATTTTTACGCTTCAGAGGTTCGGCTACAGTAATCTTTAATTTGTTCTAGTTTCTAGTAAAGAATGCGACTTTGTTTCTGTCGTTCCCATTTCGCAAGTAAATCAAAAATCCCATCAGAATGTATGCGTTCTTCTTGAAACCACAGATGTTGTCCTTCCCACCCTTTTACCCAATTCTGTCCCATTTCCAAATCTTCAACAACTCCTTCTTCTTCTTCTCTAGATTCTTCAACCCTTCCTCTTCTTTTCCACAAAAGTTTAATCGTTCGGAATCGTTGCACATTTCCTGCCGCGAGCACACAGTGTATCCTGTTTCGGAGCAAGACCTCTCAGTGAAATAATTACATAATTACTCTGTTTCTCTCTATCTCGGAAAATGCGCGGCAAAAGTGTTTCTGTTTCTTCTCTTGTTTCTAGAATTCTAAACCACTTCTTCGCTGAGCAAAGACTTAATCGTTCTGCATCGCACCTTCCTTTTTTGCCCCATCGGCTTTTTTTCTTCCCACGTTTCAATCCGTAATCCTCTTTCTTTTTTTGGTTCAAGTCCCTTTTCCGAAACTTCAAAAACTCCAAAATACTTCGATAAAGTCCAAAAATTTGGAGAACAGTTGTTTAGTGGTCACGGTATACTTCATCTGTAGAAGAAGAATTGACACACAACTGTCACTGAAATCTAGGATTTTTGGCGTCAGATGGTAGGAATTGAAAGGTTTAGAAGAAGCAGAACGAATGATGGGAACGAATAGTGTTGTATTTCGAATTAGGTGACAGATTTGAGATATTGGAAGTGGCAGGAAAGTAAAAGGAACTCGGATAGAGGGAGCTAAAGGATTCGGCTCTGGTCGGTTTATTTTGTCTTTAGAATTGTTTTTGGTCCTAAGAGTTGATGTGGTCCTTGAAGTTATCCTTGAATATCAGTTATTCCTAAAAAAGATCCAAAAATTAAAAAAATATATTCTGAAAAATCAAAAAATGTAGTCGATTTATTTGGTCCTCTATAGAAAATCATATAATTTTTCTGATGTATTCTTAATTCCAAATATTGCCTTTTTTCATAATTCCAAACTTCTGATTTTGTTTTTGAAAAATCTGAATTCAATAAAGTATTTGAAATTAGTATTTGAAATAGTTTCCCCAATTTTTAGGATTTTAGGATTTTTTTTCGATTTTTTGGCTTTTATGGAATTTCTCCTATTCCTTGAGTTTTCAAAGGACCAAGTAAAATCTGAGGACCAAAACGAAATCTCTAAACTTTTTGGATAATTTTGATTGTTTCCTTCAGATTTTTCTCTAGGTTCACAAAGCATTCCAAATTTTTAAATCCTTTTTGAACACTTCGGTTCTACATTTTGAAAAAAGGTCTTAACACGAGATCCTCCAACCCAAACCCTTGCTTTTTTCCCAGTCTGAAATCTGTTATTCAGCTCAAAACCAGCTCCGCCCTCTTCTTCTCCTACTTTCCTTCTATCAGAATATTCTTCTTCCTCCCATCTTCTCCCGAAGAATCTATTTTTCCCACATTCATAAATATTTTGGCAAGCTCAGACACTTGAAATCACTAATTACCGAAAGGTACCTTTTAGTTTTTTGAAATGCTCAAAAAACAAGGAAATTTCTATTTTTACTTTTAAAAAAGGTGTAATATCTCGACATTTGATCCGAAAATTCCAGGTAACAGAGACACGGATTCTTCTCTTTTCATTCATTCTTCGTCATCTCAAGTTTCTGTATTTCTCACGTAAGAAAAAAAAAGAAAAAAAGAGGAAGAAAAAGTTTCCTATATGCTTATTGTGTCACCTAATTACAAGGAGACCGGACTATCCTGTTAATAATAGACCTCAATCGACGCCTTTTTGTAGATTCATCTCACCGGATGAGAGGGAGAAACACTAATTAGAGGATCTTCACTTTTCCAAGGTTTTAGCTATATCCTGGGAACATTTCAATGAACTTTCCTTTGTTACCTAATAACCAAGAGAATCTGACCCGTTGTTTCTTTTTCGGTATCACTGAGAGATCATCAAAGTAATTCTTATTTTAATGCAAACAGTCTCTTGCTCTAATCTGTAAGAGTGTCCTCCTGTTGACATTGCTCTGATCGATGAGGTGCATTTCTTGTAATCGAGCCGGCTCTTCTTTTTTCGCCTTTCATCTTATCCCGACTCTTACCGCCTCTTCTTCCGCGCGGAAGGTGTTCTTCTTCTTCCTCTTCTTCTCCTTGCCGCCTCTCCTCCGAACCATCTTGACCCTTTCTTGGTATATGTATATCCAGGTAATTAATACTCTACAAATCATCGTCGTTTTTTCGAGTTCTTTCGTTTCTTTTAGTCCTGATTTACGACTCAAGAGAAGACAAAAACCACTTTTTGCGATTTTTATGGTTCTCGAGTGAGTAATCGCTTTTCGAGCACACCAATTGTTTTCACTTTCCATTGAGAGGTAAAGAGGATTCGTATAGATTTTATAGATTTTTCAAAGCGTTTAGTTTTGTTTTCAAAATCTTCTTTCTTCATGATCAGGAGCTGTAAACAGTAAATAAACATTTAAAGAAGCACCGTAAACAGTACAATAAAATGCCCCCACACCGTCAGCTTTGAGGTCATATATCTCATTTCCTGTACATGATATTAAAAAATGGTCAACTAGCAAAATGTTAATTATAGTATCAAAAATGCTCTATAAGTTGACAACTCTTTGATGTCTTTCACAGGAACTGAGATAAATTGGCTCAAAGCTAAACAATAGGGGTGGCGTTCTATGAGAGTTTTTATGGTAGATCTGCCAAATTTGGGACACAGATCGACTTTTACGTTGTTGATTCTAATCTTTACAGTCAACTCTTCTACTATTTTATGATCGATCTGGTATCTAATAGTTATCCAGCCAGCCCTAAACTTGTCAAACTTTACAATCTAGTATCCTGTGACCCCAATTTCTTTCTGGAGGAGGTTCCTTCGAAGTCTTGTTCGTGGTAATAACATTTTTATAGTCGTGTCATTTGCTTCTTCTTCTTCATTCACCTCAACCATTTACCTGCTCCCGACAGAGTCATTTCCACCCGATTAGTGTTCATTTCCTCAGGACACATTTCCTCTCTAAACAGATCAAAAGGAGCTCGTCGAGCCGACACCACACGCATTCGTTGATCCGTACACCCTGTTTACATCTCTTCCTATGTCATCTGAATGAAGAGTACGGAATTCTGGATATCCAGAATCCGTTCTTCTTTTTTTTCTCTTTTTTTCATTTTTTGCGCTTTTCTTCAATTTTTGCCCAATTTTCGTCTTCCTCTCAACGGCGCGGCGCACAAAAGTGGTGGAGAGAGAAGACCACTTGATGAGCCCGTACAAATAGACACACTCGAAGCGCCACCCGATGCAATTCAGTTTTTGGTAGAAAAAAAAAGTAGGAGAAGAATAAGCAGTGTATTTTCGTAAGTACTTGCTAACCAAGTTTGGGAGAAGAGGGGATACTGTAGGTATTAGTGTTTGGCAGAAGCAAGATTTTCAGGAATGAAGTGAACTTCAGAATTTTGCAATAGAAACCACATTTTTGATAAGAAAATCAGGTAAGATCTAAAATCTGCTGTTATTCTTTAAAAATGTTTAGAAAATACCGTATTTCCTATGATAAATGCCCACGCAAACCGTCGACTTTGAGATCAATTACCTCGATTCCTGTCGAAGATATAAAAATTTTGTAAACTTACAAATTATTTATCGTAACATCGCAAATATTTTATCAGTTGACAGATTTTAGATATCTTTCACAAAAATTGAGATAATTGAGCTCAAAGTTGACGGTTTGGTGGACTTCTAATAAATAAAATACGGTACTTTTTTTGTGGTTCAGATCTGTCCAAAATTTACAATTCTGACTCAGTTTTTTTAAAGTCTCTCATTTCCACATTGAGAATTTTCTTGAATTCAGGGAATATTGAAACTACATCAATGTGAAGACTAAAATCCATTACATCCTTTTTTCGGTATCCTTTATCCCCGCCTCCGCCTCTTCAATCAAAGTCACATCTTCTTCCTTTGGAATTCTCCCGACTCTCCTGTCGTGTCGAGTGTATGTGCAGTTCTTCGAACACTTCCTCCCCCTTTCTTCTTCTTTTTTCTTTCATTTCCTTGGTGACACTCGGACGTCCTCTTTTTTTGTCTTCTAACACCTATTGTTTAAATGCACATCGTTTTGGAAAACGGAGATTTTCACATTATTGTAATACCAAAGAAAGAGAGAGAGTACTCCTTTAGATTCACATATTCATTTTCTCATCTTTCTCGAACAGTAATCCTCATCTTGTAATCCGTAGTAAAAAAATCGTGCGTTCCTTTTCGGCCTTCTCCTCACAAAGCTGACCCTTATTTTACCGCATAATCCCTTCTGGGAGCATCAAATTGCACCTGGTCTTTTTCCTCATCTTCCGTTCTTCTATTCATTCAAAAAAGGTGTATTTTTCGCCGCCTCAGCCTTCTTCTTCTCACCCTGTTTTCATCCCATACTATATCTTATCTAATTAAATGATCATCCTTGAAAAATAGAGAGTGAGAGAGTTTTCACAACTTTTTATTAATCGCTCAATGACATGCAGAACTAAATTTTGCGGCTGGTGGGGAAGCGATGGGGTTAGTTTTAGATTCTATCTACTACCATTCGTTAGAAACATTTGAATGTTATCCTTCTGTCAGATCATTCTAAAATACGGTTTTATGGTGTTCTTTACAGCACTCAATACGACTATACTCTCTCTTAATCCTCTCCCTATATCCCCCATCCGTCTTCTTTTGGACCATTCTCCTCCCCTCCTTCCGCTATAACACCTTTTCTCCATTTCCGTCTACGTGGCAATACCATCCATCACCTGATCAGACACATATATACATTTTTTCTCATTTCCTTTGGTTTTTCTTGTTTAATGTACTCTCTGGGTGATGGAAAAATGTGGTGGTGGTCCCATCAATTTTTCATCAGTTTTTCTTCTTCTTCTCACTCTATAAATGTAGTTTTCCTCATCATTTTTCTTTTCCTCTTCTCTAAACCAAAACAACAACTTTCACACATTTTTTATTATTTTCAGAATGCGATCACCTCTTCTTCTCATCCTCTTTCTTGACCTGTTAAGGTACAGCTCGGCAAATCAATTTTGGTTGAGTGCCGAAGTGGAACAGATTGATTGGACCGATGGATGCTTGACGACTGCTCTGTGCTCACATCCGAGGTTCCAACTTATCAAAGATCTTCTTCCAGTTAATGAAAAAGTCACTATGAATTGGCCAATCGTTGAGCATTTTGATAAGGTAAGACATTCCTTCTTCTTCTTCCTTTTAGAATTCAAAAGTCATCACCTCATTCATAAACCTCGTTACCGTCTCGGATATCTACCATAGGTTCTCACACCAACATCCGTCAATATCCGTCAAAAGGTGTCAAGATAGAAAAAGAGAATGAGGGGGTTTACGTAACTGTAATTAGCCTTTTGCACACTCCGGTCCCATGCGCACCTTTTTCTTTTCACCTTGCCGCCTCGTCCCGATTAAGACTATTGCGTAAGAAGGTCCCTCTGTCTCCGATGTTTTATCCCTGTTTTCCCAGTGTGACATCACAAGCATCTACCCTACAATTTCCCTTTCCTGTAATCAAATGAATTAATGTTATATTTTCCAGGAATCTCATCGTCCATTCGTTTCTTACTGGCCATCAGGACGTACCGAGGATATTTCAATGTCTGCTCAAGTTGTGGGAACTGATAGGACTTATGGATTCCCGAGAATATGTGATCAGTCGCCATCGGTTAGAATCTTTCCGGAAGAACATAAAAAAGTAGGTTGACTGTTTGCCTTTTAGCGCATTTACATGTTGATTGATTGCCACGTCACCAAGGTTATGCAAACAAACTGTGCCAAAAGAAGAACACCTTCTTCTTCTATATTCTAATCCTTCTCTTTTTCTAGATTTTGGCTCATTTGGAAAAGGAGAAAACTACTGGAAAACCACCGATGGATTCATTGAAAATTAAAGTAAAAGGAAAGTGTTTCAACGCGACGATGACTGTTATGAAGCACACAGAAAGATGTCCATGGTGTCCGGATCCAAAAGAAATCACCATTATTGGACAGGAACCAGGAAGTGAGGCGACTGGAATGAGAGCTGGATCTGCTGCGTGGCTATTCGGATCCTCTTCTTCCCTGATTTCCGATGATAGAATCGTTCACATTGGAGTCCTGGTTCTAGCGGTTGTTGCCGTTTTAGCTTCTACTGCATTTGCTGTGATCCTTGTGATGTATTTGAGAAACAAGAGATTGGTCAAAGAGACACTCAAAAAACCACGCTTCCATCCATATATTTCCGTTAAAGGACACGAGATTGCTGAGGATAATAACAGGTAAGAATAACTTTCGACCTAAGTTAAGAGATTCTGAGAATCCTCAGTTGACTTGACAGAAAACCAAAAAATAATCTTTCAGATATGATCTTCCATGGGAGCAACAACAACGCCCATTAACATATTGGATGACGTCTTCAAACAAATCATCTGAATCCACAATGACATCTCCATTAGATTCTGCTTCTTCGCTTCATGGAAGTGGAAGTCATCAGAATCCGAATATTTTCAATTCTCAACATCATCATCAGAATCCTCATCCGGAGATGTACCATTCAACATACACTCGGGATGGATATCAAACTTATCGTCCACCTCCACCATCTGTTCATCCACCAATTTTCCCACCACAAACTCAACTTTTTCATCCGCCAACCTATTCAACACAACGTCATGTAACGTCTCCAAACTCGTCAAGACATGATGATTCTGGATTGGAATCAGTGTGAATCAATAGTGGATAATTTAGTGGATGTGTAGATTTGTTTAATTTTTCTAACGGGTTACATAGCACAAGAAACCGGTGGAACTCCTCTTTCAATATTCAGTTTCGCATAATTTTCAAAATTGTAAATATTATTTGCTCTAAAATAATTCTTTAATTGTGTTTTTAATATTTTGGATAAATAATAATTTTATTTGTTGAAAAGATACAAAGAAAATTCAGAACTATCATTCTGGTTCAAGAAATTGGCTGTGGAAAAGCTGTGGAAATGAAAAGCTTGTTGGTGTGGTTCACAATTCCCGGAACGAAAACCACCGTTACCTAAACAATTACCCGGACTGATCAAAAAGGGGCTCACCTTAAGAAATAAGTATCTTGGACAAAAAATAATTATGTATTTGATTCAAAGCTACCAAAATTTTCAAAGCAGTTTCTCAAGTCTTGGTATTTTCTGATTGTTAAAAGCAGAAGACTTAATGTTTCGGTTGTTATTTTCATCAGATGAAGCAACTTTGACGAGCGATAACTCAGCTCAAAAGTGATCAAATAATTTGAAACTTGACCAGTTTACTGATGAATCATATAAATTTTTGCACTTCAAATTTGAGTCAAGTACAAGACTTCACTCAATTTTTATGATAGTCCCCGTAACTATGTGCCACCCTGTAGGTTATTGCTCTTCCATCAGCAACGCATTTTTAAATAATGTCACAACTGATAAGTATAACCTTCTTCTTTCTTCGCTAATTCTCACTGAGGAGAGGATATATGTGATCTAGAAATGAAATAGAGTGGCTAGATTTTGAATAAAATTTCCAGCAAGATAATTTCTAACATTTTCATAGCTTCTAGTATGAAGCGTTTCCCCTAATTGTTTGATCCTGATTTTTGTAGAAATCCTGATTTTTGTAGAAATTCTAGTTACAAATTTTCAGATTTCCAGTGTTATCTATGACTTTCATACTTCAATAATTTCAAAAAGTCACGCTTTCCCAAGTTTTCCATTCTGCAGGAATTTGGTCCGCCACCCAGCTGTCAGTGACCAGTCAGTGTCTTTTCGACTGCCACTAGGCCGTCGTTCTGCAACTTATTTTTAGAGTTGGTTAGATGTAAGGAAAATTAGTTTCTGTCATTATTCTATAATTTAGTGCAAGTATGAAAACTTGTTCACTTGCTGATTGAAACTTTCAAGTTGGTTTACCAGAGAGTTCCGATAGTCCGGCGACAGTCCGTCAACGGTCCGTCAGTTCTCCTTGCCGCTTTAAATTTGTAGTTTTCGATCAAACCACTCAAAGTATCGAATTGAACATTTGGTAAAGAAATATGATATATTGCTATAAAAATTACAATTTTTTCGGATCGAGAAAAATTCTTATGACGAATTCATACCGTCACATTCTTTCCTCCTTTCTCTTCTTTTCTCTTCTATGGGACTCGTATTATAAGGAGAAGCAGAGAAACAGAGAAAGCTCCTAGAAAAGGGGAAGCAGAATTCATTGATTCAAAATGATGTTCCCGCAATGTTTCAAATCTTCGCTTATGCTCATTTTCAGTGCTTCTTTCGGTGGCTTGAAACGTCCTTCAACTAACAAAACATCATTTGAAAAAGAAGATGAATATTCAGTTGATTACTATAGCTATTCATTGATTTTACTACTTTTCTTCTTTCTGAAAGCAGTGCTCAATTGTAAAATGGGATGGAATCTGCAGCAACGTCACCATGACTTGAATTCGCTCAGAGTAGGCGTTCTTGCAGTTGCAATTTTTGAAACCATTGAATATGCTGCGTTTCATGTAATGTACACGGATTACTGGGTAAGAACTATTACATATTTAAACTAACTTTTTATTTGATTGTATTTCAGAATGTCTATCCATATTTCATTATATCACACTGATTGGTTCTGGTTTTCTTTGGATTGTGCATAATGGAGCCTTCGTCTAAATGTAAATTTCCCACAAAGCACGAGTGGGCTCCCGCATTTGTTGCTGTAGTGGCTTTTGTTTATGGGTTGAAGAGAGTTTTCGACTCAGGTATGCAGGTGAGTAAATTTCTGAAATTGAATACAGTTTCAAAATTACTTTCTTTTTTCAGCAAGAACTGTGGTTTCATTTTCACTACATATATTTTCGAATATTTTCGACCACAAGAATGCGCTAGTTTTAAAGAATGCTATGGTTTATGAATCAGGAAAATTTCATGCTTTCGAGGCTACAAAAAACCATGTAAGTTGATGAAAAAGTGTATTTCTATAAATTAAAAAAGTTTCGTTTAGAAGTACAACAGTGTATTTTTCAGATCGTGGTATCACTCGATAGAAGAGACGACCGACGAAACAGAATTACTGGTTGAAAATTCACACAAAGGGTCAACTTTGAACGAGCAGGGAATTCAAGTAGCTCTTTGAAACTGTTCAAATAATATTATAACCTGGGATAAAAATTTTATTCAAAATGTAAAATAGGGTATAAACCGAGGCGTATGTTTTTTTGATTATAAATAAATATTGTTTGTGTCGTTTTCAAAGTTGATTTCCAAGAGAAATTTTTTTTCCAAGAGAAATTATTTCGATTTTTTTTTTGGATTCTGCAGCTTGTTGGAAATTATAGCATTAACTTCATATTTTTGGAATATTTGAAAATTTCAAAAAATTTTCGATTTTAGATTTTCAGAAAGCTTTGGATTTCTTGCAATTCCGAAATTTTACAAAAAGCTAAATAATCGCAGTTCTTTTGGATTTTTGGAAATTTCTAGAACGTTCTGGAATACTTTTTCGAATTCCCGCCAAAACTGGACCCCCCCCCCCCCCCCCCATTTTTTATTTTCGGCACTTTTCTGGAGGTGGCCTGAAACTTTCAGTTTTCGCGGGAATGAAAAAGAGGTCCAGTTGTCAAGGTGCTGAGCTGGCTGTTTTCTTGCTTCCTGTAGGAACGCAATTTCTGATTTTTGTCGTTGGTGCTAGTAAGGACTGGTTTCTGATGTATCCAATGTTTATCTTCCTCAATGGTACGAGTGTCTGAGTAGCTCAACTGTTCACGTTCTCCGTTTCAGCATTCCTGACTGGATTCACCTTGTACTTCCAACTATGTTCTGTCCAAGATCATTGAGAAGCCAGCCTGGTTCGTATTTAAACTTGAGTGCAAACCAAGCAGATACTGCGGTCACTTGGTGCAAGTGAACCAGTTCGGATAATTCTGGCTGATCATCAGGGAGGCTCACACCAATCGAAGCTTCATGAAAATGGTGGCGTAAGTGCACAAACCGAAAAGTATCATCTTAATATTTAAAACTACTCTCTTCATAGAATGGCGGAAATCGAAGAGATTGAGATGGACATTCACTGAGTGCTGACTAATACCATACTTTTTCGAACGACACCTATCTTAAAACCTACCGTATCTCCTTGCCAATTTTTATGTAACATGTCGTATGTAAATAACTAAATCTTCGACATCTCAAAACTGTCTTTTGTGTTCCATTTGTAAAATTTAACCAATACAATGAACAAGTGTAAATATTTACTACGGTTTTCAAAATTAGGATGTATGAGGTGACACGTATATAGGAAAAAAAAACAATTGATCGGTGCAATGGGGAACCACCAAACGTTCAATAAAAGTTATGAAGACATTAAATGATGATAAAATAAGAGAGTATCTACAAAATGTAAGGGAATGACAAGCCGACTACTGGAATGGATTGGTTCCTCCTTGTTGGTTTTGCTGTCCGAACTGTGGATTCGGTGGGAACCCTCCTTGTTGTTGCTGTTGTGGCCACTGTTGTTGTTGGTATGACGGGAAGGCTCCAGGGAACGTTGGGTATGGAGCAGCGAATGTCGGTTGGTATTGAGGTTGGAACATCATTTGTGGTTGTGGTTGCCCTGCAAAATGAAAATTGTTATTGATATTTTAAGAAACAGAACAAAAAACTATCTCAAACTTGTTAGTAATGTCATGAAACACAAAAACACACCGTATGGAACTTGTTGCTGATAATATCCAGGGTGTTGTTGGAATTGTTGCATTTGTGGCTGCTGCTGATAGGGATTATACGTAGCTTGTTGTTGAGGAGCTCCAGGTGTAGCTGAATACACAAACGCTTGAAAACTTTATGGACAACGAGAGTTAGTTTTGAACAGAGGACGACTGACATGGAACGAAGCACTGAAGTACAAATATTACTCACCTTGCATAGCTTGTTGTGTTCTTGGAGGTGGAATTGGAGACTCTACGCTTGGAGCAGCTGGACGTGGTGGTGGTGGTCGTGGTGGAGCGTTGGCTGGCGATGGAGCAGTGCTGGTTCCTAGAAATAAACAGCATTGGTTATAGAATCCGAATAGCATTCCAAGCGTGCACTATTCCAAAGCAGGACGAAAAGCTAAACGGACCGGAAGTAAAATAAGATGATACCAGATTATTCACACCATCGACGACAGCTTTGGCAGTTTGCGCTGAAAAGACAAAACACTGCTACCAAACACGATATAAACAATCAAGTAATCAACTAAAATTAACTTCTAAGCAAGCAAGTGAACAACGGAAATAGACCTACTCCATGAAGGATTACATACCGTCATCTGAATAAACCGCACGTTTTGTGCTACTTGATGAAAAATGAACTTACCGGAAACAATACTCAATTGAAGCTGTCTCATCAGATCCTCCTTTTCCGTTTGGCGGGCGAATGCAAAATCGCTAACTTTCTGTTGAAGACGAACGAGAATCGGAGTGAGATCATTGTAGAACTTTGTCCCTTCTTCCAAATTGGCTTTCAACTCTGCGTAGGCATCCGAAGCCTGAGCCAACATCTTCAAAATACGCTCTCTTTCAGCTCCCGTGCTAGATCCAGTTTTCTCTCCAGTGAACTTGTTGTTAGAGGATTGAATTTCGTTTATTAGCGTTTCCTGCTTGTCGAGAGATACTTGAACTCGACGCTTCAAATCACCGAACAATTGTGCAATTTTCTCTTTGGAAATATGCTCCTCATTGATAAGTTGATTCTCAGCCAAAGCCTTCAAGAAATCATTTGCAATATCGCAATTGGTATTCTTCAATTCTTTCTCGAGAAGTTCTCTGTCTGTAGTGACTTCGCTCCATTCAGTCATCAATTGTCTCAGACGGCGAACAGTATCGGTTTCACCAGTAGCATGAGCAGTTTGTCCAGGTATCGAAGATCGGAGTTCTGTCTCATTTTTCGACAATAACTCAATTCCTTGTCGATGAGCTTCAAACTTTTCTCTGACCATTTTATCAGCGTTAGAAGCGGTGTGAAGTATTCCTCGATACTTTCCAATTTCAGTGACAAGTGGACCAGTAAGCTGATCGCTAGACATACGAGACCATTTAGTTCCGAGCTGCTTACGCATGTTGTCGTCACTTTCTTTCTCTTCATTAAGGATACGGCTAGTTTCAGTCAGAATGTCCTCGTTGCGCTGATAGAGCGTGGGAAGTTCGTTGAACAGCCGCATAATTTCGGCACTGCCTCCGTTTTGTTTTAGCTTCGCTGATTTCATCTTGATAGATTCAGGAAGAGTTTCGGTAGATGTGACATCATCCAGAGCAGCAGGAAGATTCAAAGAAGCAAGAACACTGAAAATACTAGTTATTTTAGGTAAACATGTATTTGAAATTACCCATTCATCAACTGTGTTGCCTCACGCATACGAACGGTTTCCATATTTACGAGCTCTGCTTTCCTAGCGTCGTACGATTGCATAGCATTATGAACCTGGACGGGGACAAGTGATGAAAACATGTCTGCAACAGATACATTTTTCAACTATCTAATTGAAAATCTGCCAACTTACCTCTAAAGTTAGGTGTTATTGGATTTGGGACTGGTGTTGGCTTAGCGAGGACGGCTTTTTGAAGAGCCGGGAGTGAGCGGAAATCAGCGACTCTTTCGTGATACTGAAACCATACAGTGTGATCCGATCTATTAATTTAGAAACTTACGATGAAATCATTATCTTTTTTGGCCGCAGTATGTGCCTTGCTGACTGTTGGATAGATATCCCAAATACCAGTGATGTCTTTTGGCAAATACTTTTGAGCGGTTTCAAACAACTTCAATGATTCAGCTAGACGAGAAAGTTGTTCTCCAATTTGACGACTCTCTCCATTCACTTCCGATTGATGGAATTGCGCAAGAGCTTGGTATGCAATAGTTTTGCCGTTCACAATGCTGCTCCACTCCTTATCCCACAATCCACGAACAACGTCTTTGGTCATCATCTTTTGAGCGTCGGCATAGAATTCGGCTACTTGAGCTGATATTTTCACCATTGATACTGCTTTCATTTTATCTTTATGTCCTTTAATATAGATAGCCTCTTGGGCTTGAGCAACCATCAGCGCAGATAGTGCAGCCAGAGTATCAGGCATGAGATCAGGAGTTGGTTCCTGTTGAACCATTCCAAGAACAACATCACGAAGACGAGCGAAAACTCCAGCTGATTGTTGGAACAACTTGGCAGAAATTTTGATCTCGTCATCAGTGTGGAATTGTTGAGCTGCTGCTATCTGAGACATCAAGGAGCCAATGTTGAAGAGGACTGCGGCACGTTCGAACGATCCGTCTGATAAGGATAGTGATGCACGGCTGGAGAAAAGACTGCCTTTGTCAAAGGCATCTTTCCATTTGAAGATAACCGGATTCTGAGTTGCAGAGATTATTATTTTGCTTTCAATTGCAACTAGTTGATCGTAATATCTGCAAAACTTGTATTCGATTTATTTAGAATGACGATGTTTTACCTAGTCAAAACATCAAGAGCACTTTGATGCTTATCCAATGGTTGACAGCAAGCTTTCGAGCGTAGTTTATTAAGTTCCTGGACAGCCTCCGTAATATCAGATCTATTATCCTCCGATGTATTATAAACGCTGTCGATGTAAGTTGTGAGAGGCTTCACGAGATCGACCTCATTGGTAGATTTGAGAGGAGCGCTTATGAATCCAAAAGCAGCCATTCTGAAAAAGTTGAAATTGGAATAGCATAGAAAAAAGGACTAGAAAAAGAATGGGCAGAAGCGATCGATGAAGCAAAATTAAAACCATGAAGAACTTGAAGACACAAAGTAGTTTCATGACTAATTCATCGATTTAGACTCATAAACTGAAAAGGAGGAAAAAATACGTCATTTGAGGTACTGGAATGCAAATAACGTTCGTGATATGGGTGATGACTCATCGGGTTGTCATAGGGTGGTTGTCCGCTCCTTGAAACGATTTCGCAACCTCAAGTTGCTAATGTGAGGAAAAAACATACTAATCAATATGGAAACCGTAGAAAATGAATAAGTGATTATTGTAATTGAGTTAAAAATTGGAAGGACATATGAAAACTAAAAGGAGAGGGTGGTAACTCAGTCTCATGCTTCTCAGCATTGCACTCCGGTGGCTCAAGCAGTTGGTAAACATATCGAGAGTGCCACAGAAGATTTCGGAATATGGAATTGAACTGGAACTAAAATCATTCGAGAAAAATACCAGTGAAATTATATCCATCGGGGAAGGTCTTTTGAAAGTGAAATTCGCAACTTAACTGATTTATAGGATGTTTTATATTTCGAAAGACCCCATGGTCGCGCTTTCAGTGATAGAAAGAAAAAGATAGAAACTACTGAGTGAGAGAAAAAGAGACAAAATTGATGTCTCAAAGTTTGGAGGGAGGACAAAAAACAACAAAAAATATTTGCAAACAAAAAGCAATGCATCTTCGCTCTTCTGGACAAAGTGTCGAAGTCTCTTCAAATGACACGCTCTCTCGCTTTTCTTTTCGAAGACTTCAACTTTCAAAAAAAGAAATTCTGAAATTCTTGTTTCTTGAATTTCGCTTTTCTTGAATATGTCTAAAAAACAGGCAGATGATCGACTTGAAGGCTCAAATGATACTTTTGGTGGACTTGTCATAAAGAAGAAAAAAGTGGAAGGAGATGATTCAAAACAGCCTGCTGCATCGTCGGGGAAGTAAGTTTTGAATTTAAAACGTAGACAGTTAATATAAGATGTGAATTCAGAAGTTTATTAGGCCTTGACAAGCTTGCATCGACAAAGCGAGAATATGCCAGAAAGCGGTTGGAAGACGATGATGACAGAGGCGTGACAGAATCAGTTCGAAAAGGAATAGAGATGTAATATAAATGTGTTTCGGACTGTTCTTAGGTTATGATTTCAGGGTTCATGAAAAGCACAGAGATAGAGACGATCGAGGAATGAAGTATAAAAGCAAAGATGATGATCGAAAACGGGATAGGGATAGAGACAGAAACCACCATTACGATCGTTCTGACCGTTCTGACCGTAGAAATGATAGCAGTAGAAGAGATTGGAAGGACAGAAGAGGAGATGAAACGCCGAGATTCAAAGTGCCTGAGACACCGTCCAGAATGAGTTGGGATCAAGATGAAGGTTCAACAAGAAAAAAGAACAGTTGGGACAAGCCCACACGTAGAGGTGACGGAAACAGCAGACGAGA